ATAGACAGATAGGGTGGGGAGGGGCACCTTCAAAGGTCCCCCTTCTAGGTCCCACCTCCTAAAACTTCCCAAGAGCGCTGTCAGCTAAAGACTAAGTCTTCAACATGAGAGCCTCGGAGACAAGGAAGATGCAAACCGTAGGAGTACGTGGCACAGTTCTGTCTGGAGCCCATTGATGGGGGAGAATGGCCAGGAACCGGACAGGGGGACAAGGTAGACCATTTCTAAACCTGTCTTGGTTTACCATCAAATCCTGACTGGCATCCCAAGTCTGAGAAGGAACTAAAACCCTGCCCCGCCTACACAAAGAAGCCTGTGTTTCAAGGAATGCTAATGTTCTTTATTTTCTCCTCTTATTGATCTATTCTAAATAATAAGAAAGTCTTATTTAAAACAAGTGAGAAAAGAATGAGGGGGTAGGGATTGATAAATATAATAGCTGATATGTTTTACATCCTCCAACTCCAGGCTCCATCTGAAATAACAAACAGAAGCACTGGTGACTCCAAACACTATGAAAGAATCCCAGGGAGACCCACATTTTCCTTCACACCCACTCTGGTTGTGTTTTTGTTTTTTTGGCTTAATACAGAGCAAACATACTGTGACTTCAAAATCATAATAACAGAATTGAAGCTCCACATTGTTTTGATGCAGGACTGAGGCAGACTTTCACCCAGTCCCCTTAATAGCCCTTGCGCACTGAAGGACGAAGGGAAAGCATCAATAGCCGCAGGTATGATGGCAATGGTCTACTCTCAGTGCAGAGTTGCTGCATACCCTGAAAACCACCAGCTTCAGAATCTTCCTTCTATGACTGTTAATCTTGCACAAGTGAGAGCACTATAAATTAAACCAAGTATATTAAATTATACACGGTCTGTAACTTCTATCTCCCCCATAACAGGAAAGGTCTTTCATTTCTTTTGTATAATCCATACCCACAACACTACTGCTGGGGGGGGGTGCACTCAATAATCCACATCCACAGACAGTGACGGCGGGTTTTACTCCATCATTGTATTAAGGGTTCCTGATGTTGCTTCTGTCTAAGACATTCAAAGCAACAGGGAAGAAGGTTGGTTTCTTGGCTCCTGAGTATTTTTCTGACTCTCAGGAAAGCCAGTCTAGAAATCCTGGCAAGAAGCAAGCCCGGGACACTGTGAGGCTCTGTGTTTATTCTGTTTCTCTGTAATGGTGGCAGCTGTGAGTTGCAGATACCATCTGCTGAAGGCAAATGCCTAGTTAACTGTGCTATTCTCAATTTCTTCACAGTCCTCAGATCTACCAACCTCACCCTACTTCCCTCCCTCCCTCCCACTCATTCCATCAGCCCTGAAGCACCCTCACAACACAGCAAATCTACATGGACCCCCGTGGCCCAGAGCTTCAGCCTGAAATGGTGCCCTCCTCCAGCACACAGCTTCAAAGGTTTCAGCCATGGTGGGCTGGTCCTGTTGCTTTGGGCCTTCGGTGGCCCAGTACATCATGGCAGGATCATGTGGTGGAGCGAAGCTGCTCACCTCATGGAGGCTAGGAAGCAGAGAGAAACAGAGAGACAGAAAGACAGAAACAGAGACAGAGAGACAGAGAGAGAGGGCCCAGAGTGCCCAGATCCCCTTCACTAACATGCTTCCTCCTACTACGCTCTACTGAGGTTCGACCACCTCAAACAGCACCAAGATGGGGACCAAGACTTCAAAACATAGCCCATGGGAACACCCCCAATTCAAACTACAGCACTCCACAAGGGTATGCCAAGATCTAATGCTGAAATGATACCGTGTGTTTGTACCCTTTAACAGGGATTTCTTATTTGTTTATTTATCATCTTTAAGTATAAAGGGGTTTCAATTCAGCATATCAGTTTGTGAGCACGACTGCATCGTGATCAGTGCACCCCTTCCATCCTTCTCAATACTGGCACTAGGCACATTAAATCTCATTCGTGATGATCTTCACCAATGGGAAATCTAAGATAGGTCTCTTGGTTGGCTTTTTTTTTTTTTTTTGGCTTGAACTTAGGGCAGGGCACTGTCCCTGAGCTTCTTTTTGCTCAAGGCTAGCACTCTCCCACTTGAGCCACAGCGCCACCACTTCCTGCTTTTTCTGTGTCTGTGGTACTGAGGAACTGAACTCAGGGATTCATGCATGCTAGGTGAACACTCTACCACTAAGCCACATTTCCAGCCCTTGGCTGACATATATGTTTGCAAAAAAAAAAAAAAAAGCAATGTAAATGAAGGGTAGAAAGGATATTTTAAAGGTAACTTTTGAACTATCTGAGAGAAGGCTTGCAAAGACCTCCTTACATACTAATAACAAGTTATTTTGAGTCTACTCACTAAAAGCAGCTGTCTTCCTCCTGGGCTCCTCATTTCTGCACAGCCACTCTCATTTGCTAGTTCAACCTGCTTATGGCAAAGCTGACCTGTCTGTCAAACCAGTCAGCCTACCCCCTGCCATTTCCTAACCCTCCTCCTTTGTGGCTACCCCAAACCCCCTGATAATGCTGCCCTGGGACCAGAAGACCTGGGAGGGGCTCCTGAACCCACCCACCCCATGATTCTGCTGCCTAAAAGATCTTCCAGTTTTCTAGAAGAATCCATGACTCTTCAGCTGTCATTTCAATTTCTTTGTTCCTGGCACTGGAACAGGTCCTTAGCAAAGGGCTACTAGAACAAAGACTATTTAGAATATTAAGTACAGGTTCACAATAGCTATGTGACACCGGTGGGGTTAGATGTATTTTGATATTCAGCCATTTTTCCTGATTTCAGATGACATTGTGACACACAACACATTTTATACAACATCTCATCACAGCCCAGGAGGAACATCTCATTAAAATACAACTTCGTGCAACAGAACGTATGAATGCCCTCCATTAAACCTAATGGGAGCCTTTTTAAAAATAGTTCAAATATTTTCATTGGGTATGCTGAGCTTTCTGTTTTATTTTTGCTTTTATATGTCAGAGTTGTGACTGGGGAGGGAGCTGTGGTCATTCATATTGGCTAGATGTGAATAAATTGTCTTTAAAAATCTCCACACTGTGGACTTTGGTCCATTCAGCTTGATTTTTTTCCAGTTGGTCCAAATTACTGAGGCTTTCCTTACAAGACTGTCTTCAGACCACCAGAAAACCCCATGATCACAAAGGTTCTTCCTTATATATCAATTCTATTTCCAAAGCACTTTCCCCTTGCATGTCAAGAGAGAAAAGTTCCTTTTTAGTGCTTTATTTTAGTGAGATGTAACAACACAGTAATCATTTTGGTTTTCCTCTAAGAAAGCCTCCATTGAAGGACGATTATTCTTTAGCAGGTGGATTTCACATTTTTTTAAATCCCAGTTAAGCTGACCTCCCTTCCTCTGATAAATTTCAAGTATGAGTTTATCTAGTATGCAACCTAAGTCTATCAATGTCACAGAAAGCCCCCTACATGCGGTTAAACACACGTGAGTGTCGCTCTTCTAAACCCAGGTGATAAACCCAGCGAGCCAAGCATGCCACAGGAAGCTGGGGCCGTGTGTACACATCTACACCAGGGTGCGGTCCACACACGAGGGGCTGGCTCTGCGGGTCACGGTACTCTGACAGGCAATTCCAGGCGGTTATTTTGACATTAGAAAGTCACAATCCATCAACTTCACGGCAGGGCAATAATTTGGGGACCAGGGAGATGCTATTTAAAATGACTTTGTGGGAAGGAAACAGTAGTTCCACGAGGCCCTGTTTGAGAACGAAGACACAAACTAAGCAGAATTTTCTTCCACTCTTAGAACCAGATACTGTGCAATGTGTTCTTGGGTAAGCGTGCCGTGTCTGAGGGTTCGCCACAGAGCCCTGGCTGTAAAACTAAGGAACGAGCAGGTATCTGGACTCTGGCTGGATGAGTAGGGCTGGAAGGGTGACAAGGTGACACTAAAGAATGGCTTTTCCCTGCTGTGTGCCACAAGCCACTGCTAATGCCTGCCACACCACGCCAGCATTTCAGATACCACTTGACTCTGCATTACAAATTAATCTGCCCTCCAGTGCCTGGTGACCCGGCTCCTGGTTCGACGTGGAAGACACTGGGACTCTATTCTCCAAGGAGGCAGAGGCAATCGCCACCAGCTGGGCTACTCCTGCCCACGCCAGCCTCCCACTCTGCTTCCCAGGACACATGAAGGTGGGGACCACTGAGATCATGTCAACAGCTGGGAGGAAGCTCCTGGCTGAGGAACTGGGGGTGCAGTGGGGGAGGGGCGGGAGGGCAGCATGGATGACAGCACGTAGCCCTCCAGCGTGTGCACTCCATAACAATGTGCAGAACTTGGGCATCAAGCCCAAGGGGTGGCCATGCCGTCGGTAAAAACAAACAAACCAACAAAACCCAGCAAGGACCTCTTTTCTTTTAGTCTGGCAAGGAGAAGTGGGAAAGGAAGCATGAGTAAGAAATGCTGTGTTCCCAGCTGCGCTGTGGAGCAGGGTAGGGAAGAGCATTGGGCGGCCAGGTGGAGGTGGGTTGGCGGAGGAGAGATGTTATTTCTGGAGCACTGGGCTGCTCCTATGGAAACCAGAGTGGTCTCTGTGGTGACCAGCACCCCTCCAGGTCATGACCCACCTCGCGTGGTGTTCTCCCCACCTAGCTGGCGGTCTGCCTGAAACAACGTGGAAAGAAAGCAAAGGATTCGCCTGTGATACCTCGCCTTTTAAAGGCAAAGAAATGCACGGCCTGGGCAGGGCATCAGCCAGGAAAGGACAACCAGCTCTTAAGACGCTCAGCTCCTAAGCAAAGATGAAGGGTGATCACCATCTGCACTGTATGCTGATCAGCTCTGGAGGCTGTTGAAGTGGCATTCTCCTCCCACCCACACTTTTGCCTTTCTCCAAACCCTCGCTTCAACGCAATAGCGACAATGCAGAAGCCGCGGTCTGAAAATTCGCACGTTTCAGAAAAGTAATTGTGAAGCCACCAACCGCCGAAGCAAAGTCAACAACGCATCCATACCTGGCGCTGGTATTCTTCCGTGAAGCGCAGGTTCACTGGGTAGCAGATCTTTCGGATTGGAGGTGAATGGTGATTGTCTAAATGTGTCTTCTGTAAAGAAAGGGCTGGGGAGGGGAAAGAGGAGAGAGCGTTAGTTTATCAGAATTATTTAAGACACCCAGAGCATCCCGCCTCCAGTACACACACACGCACACACATGCACACACACATGCACACACACACACGCACACACACACAATATACTGGGCAAGATATTTTTAAATAGTGTTTAAGAAATAGAAGCTTGTGCTTTAAATAGGAGGGAAGAAAAAGCGAGTTACATCACCCAACTGAGCTCTGGACATCCTGCCTGCTGGCTTTATAATCAGGGGCACTGGTCCAATGCCACCTTTGAAACTCTCTGAACGCCACCCGGGGGGCAACGGAGGGTCTGATTTTCCTCATTCAACACTTTGCTGATCAGGCACAGAACCAGAAGGCTCTCTCCATGCTTTTTCCCGTGAGCCTCCCTGCTGGCCGGTCATCTGTCACCTGCTCCTGCAGGGACCCCCGCACATCCCGGAGCGCGCTGCGCGCAGGCCCGGCTCCCGGCTCCCACAGGCGCCGCGGCACAGGACCCACGCAGCACCTGAGTCTTCAGAATCCAGCCCTGCGGTGCAGCGGGCCGAGGGTGCTGAGCTCTCTGCTGTAAAGAGCTAAGCATGACGATTCCGCCAGGCTCCGCACTGACGCAAGCGTTTTCAACAGTACGGATTTCCACCCAAGGGAGGTGGGACCCCCTCAGAAGAAACTAGGGTGAAGGGGAGACAATCACTAAGCAGAGTAACTTCCTACCTTGGATGCCAGCTTTATCCTGCATAAAGAAGAGAGGGGAGCAAGTGCCCACAGTTCACGCTTGTAATCCTAGCGACTCAGGAGACTGAGATCCAAGGAGCACAGTTCAAAGCCAGCCCAAGCAGGAAAGCCCACAAGACTCTCAGGTCCAATTAACCACCAAAAAACTGGAAGTGGAAGCGTGGTTCATGTGGTAGAATACCAGCCTTGAGCAAAAAAGCTAAGGGACAGCGCCCAGGCCTGGAGTTCAAGTCCTAGTATTGGCACAAAAAGAAGAAAGAAGGAGAAAGAAAAGGAAGAGGGAGAGAAGGAAGAGAAAGGTTTTTCTAAGGAAAGATTTTAAAAAATACACAAAAGGAGAATCAATGTTTTAAGGGGGCGGAGAATCAATGGAGAATCTTCCAGAAGTCAAGCATGCAGTCTCTTCTGTCCAGAGAGGGTTGAGGCAGCATCAGCCTCAGACAAAATGATGTCCTGTGCTCCTGCCAGGGGTGAATCAATGCGGGTGAGGCTGAGTCTCTGACTGGCTACTTAGGTAAGAGAACAGCCTGAATCCTATAGGACTTTCTCTGTGTTTCCTTACTCAGCAAGACGTCTTATACAACTTTGATCTAATTGAGGTTTTTTGTTTTTGTTTTTTGCAGAAAAAGAGACAGGCATTAAGAAAGTAAGGTAACACACACACATACATGTACAAACACATGTGTATATTTTCTGAAGCAAATTCACAAGATAGGATATGAAGAGAGACATCCTGTCATTAAGACTGACCTGGTTGGCGCAGGCTACAAGGCTAACAGCACAAGGCTGAGAATAGTACGATTTACACTAAATAACAGAACAGTCCGCTGAAGATTATAGCTCTACATAGTGATACGTTTTGCTAAGTGTTGATGGTGGCACAAATATTTCTACGCAGGCCAACAGGGCCCTCCGCTTCACACAGAGAAGACGCATAACTCCTAACCATACTTCTCCCAAATCCAGACCTTATGGGAATTCCCAGTCTGATGGCAGAGAGAGAGAGAGAGAGAGAGAGAGAGAGAGAATGTAAGAGAAAGTTCTAGATGAAACTTTACCTTGTGTAATGACACCAATGGGTTTTAAAAGCACAACATAAAAGAAACCATTCCCCCCCCCTTTTAAATGACAATAATCATCACTCTCTGTGTTGAACTTGGGACTGGCAAGGAGAAAAGAAAGATTAATCAAAGAAAAAAAAAGAAGACTTGGCTGTGTAATGAATTCTTACTCAGAACCCATAAAGACTGAGGTAGATCAGAGTGGAAAGAAACCTTATTAAATATAAAAGGCAAATCATCTTCAAGTGATATTCTGACCTCTGTATATAGACAGATTGCTCTAGGAAGGAAAAAAGAAATGTGTATTTTCAAGCAAAAAATCCTTGATTACCTATTCAGCTCTGTGTCATCTGATGTAATGAGACTTCGGGCATTTTTCCAAGAGTGGGTAAAGATGCGCTCAAAAAGAATTTTGGTTAATTTTTCTTTTGTTTTGTGATTTTAAGGAAATCTCAAGAATGGATGATCTGATTTATTTGCATTTACCCGAGAAGCTATCAAACTGCAAAGGAGAGCTGGCAGTCCAGCCTGGGCGGACAAGCTCCCCAGCAGCCCCTCAGCCCAGGCCAACTCCCCACAGGGCTTTTGGTCCCACGAGCAGAGCCCTAGTTCTTTCTCCTAAGCCCCAGTCATAACTGAACACATGCAATACAGATAGCGATAAAAGGTGTTAGTTTTGAACCACTGAAATGCCACATATTTTCTTAAGCCATGGAACTGGTATTGTAAAAACTCTGAGCTTGGAATCCTTTAGATCTAATACACTCCCCAAGAGTGGCACCCCACACTGGTATTTCAAAGCAAATAGGAAGCTAGAGTTGAGAAAATGATCTTCCATGTTTCCAAAAGCCACAAGAAGAAGCAAGCTGTAGAGCAAAGAGTTGGCAAGAAGTAGACACCGGTAACTTCCACAGGCAGTCTCCTTTCTATACAGTAAAGTGTCAAATTAGAAAGATGAGACTATTCAAAGATAAGGAATGGGAGCAGTCTATGGGTTACTTAGGACTCTCTTCAGTTTTCTTCAAGAGCTTTACAGTGGGTAGGAACTTTCTGAGAAGCTAGACCATCTTGCTTAAAAAATGTGCTCACTCAGTTCAGCAATCACTGTCATAATTTATTCTTAGTTTCCCATAAAAAAGATCAACATCAACCAAGATATACTGTATTCATAAAATGCTTTGTTAAATGGCAACTCTTTTTTTTTTTTTCGGTCGTGGGGCTTGAACTCTGGGCCTGGGCGCTGTCCCTCAGCTCTTTAGCTCAAAGCGAGCACTCTACCACTTGAGCTACAGCGCCACTTCTGGTTTTCTGGTGGTTTATTGGAGATAGGAGTCTCACGGTCTCTCCTGCCCGGGCTGGCTTTGAACCACGATCCTCAGATCTCAGCCTCCTGAGTAGCTAGGATTACAGGCATGAGCCACCAGCGCCCGGCAAATGGCAACTCTTTTATATAACTACTTAAGGATAATAACAAAAAACTTAATGATCAAATCAAGTGATCAGTTGAGTAACCCTTTTCTGAAGTGCTTAGAATCGGGAGTGTATTTTGGAATACTTGCATAAATAGAATGAAATATCTTGAGGTTAGAACCCATACCCCAAAGTAAGTTCCTGTTTCTCACAGAGTACACTGAAGGTAAACGGCCGCAATATCTGTGTCCCTTTGTCCTCTGTACACTATCACATGAGGCCAGTTGTGGAACTTTCCACATGTGATAGTACGTCAGTATCAGCAATCTTTAGATTTGAGGGCACATGAGATTTCAGTATTTTTGGTTTAGGCATATTCAACTGACTTCATTTTCAACTGAATTTTCATGATAATGCAATTTTCTGCATTCTGTGGCGGTGTGTGGCTTGTTTTTCTTCAATATTTTATTTGCTAACAATTTACAACAAGAAATGTTCAATATTTCCTTTTAATATATTTATGTAACTATATGTATATTTGCATATATATATAAAACTATCTGGCATTTTTGTAAATGAGGGTTTTTAAAAATCTATTTTTTAAATTCTCTTTAAGTCGTTATACAAAGCAAATGTGATATAACAAAGCAGTTTCTAAACACAATGGTCCGTGTCCCCCTCAACATTCTCACCCCCTTCAGCACACCCCTTTCCCTTTTCTTAGTTTTCTAAATTCTCGACTGCATTCTCCTCTTCTTCCCCCTTCATCTTCCCCTTTCCTCTATAAAGTAAAAAAAAAAAAAAAAAGACAAAAACACAATTTTAAAGGTCCATATGAACCCAGCCCTTTCCTGTCAATACCACGGCGATGAGGGAGCGATCGCCTCCCATATATAGTGAACAAACATATATATATATATACACACACACACACACACATATATATACACATATAAAACATATGTAAATACATAAATACAAAATATATTTATACAAACACATATGTATGTAAATACAGATAGTTACTATCATAAAAAAGAACCTTGGGCAGCAGCAGCTCGGGGGTGTGGGGTTAGAAGAGAACCCAAGATTAAGAAGGACTGGGAACCCCTGCCCTGAAGACACCCCCTGATCATCCCAGGCAGCAAATTCCATATTCAAACGTAAAAGGGCCAGACCAGAGGCCTCCTGTGCCCCGGGCCTGGGCCGGGCCTGGGCCTGGCCGGGGGTTCCGTCATCCATCATGTTAGCCTCCTGTCGCTTTGCAGAATGGCAGACTGTAGCGAGTCAAACGCAAATGAACCTCTGTCCATTGGCAAAGGTCAGCTGGGATTCTGACCTCCACACTGGGGCTGGCACGTGGCTCTGGTGCTGTAAAGGAGGTGTGGGGCCGAGGGGAGCCAAGGTCGCCCTGTCATTCCACTCCGGCCGCCAGGCACCGCAGCTTCAGCTTTCGTTTCTGGAGGTGACTAAGAAGCTAAGGTGTGTGCCCTTCTCCTGTTCCACCGGCAGGAGCCGGCAAACAGAAACTTGTCCACAATGAAAGGCTAAAGGTTAATTCTGAAAACTGTGAAAAGGCCATTGTGGAATCTATGCACGTGTATGAACTATATACACACATCGAGAAATACATATGTGTGTATAGTTGTATATATATACATATATATATGGAAATATATAGTCGAATGTATATACATATGTATATAGTGTGGGAAATATAGAATGTACATATATGGAATATCTGTATAATAGAATATACATATATACACACATATATG